CTTTTTAAATAAATGGGTAATTTCATATTTGAAAAAGGACATTTTGTGACTTCCCTCGAAACAAAACATGAGTTTTGATGACAAAGGGCTTACATTGCTGTGGGGAAAAGATTGACTGAAAGTTGGCTAAAGTGATGCTATTAGCTCATCACAGTCCCCATTGTCCACCCAACATGCTCACGTGCCCCACCCCTGCCCTGTGCAGCATTAACTTATCTGAACTTTGGAACTCTCTACTATTTCATAGCATCTGTGTCATGTCCTGAGGAGCCTGACTGACTCATGCCTGTGAATTCATACAGACTTTGGAAGCTGGTACATTATTAGTATTAAAACAGTACTTACTATGTGCCATGCAGTGATCTAAGAGCTTCAGTGCACTTAGAGCTTTAAATCACATAGCAACTCTCTGGGGAAATTAATAATGTCACTATTGTCCTACAAATAGGGAAAATGAAGCACAGAGGTTAATAGCCTCTATAATTTTTTGCTTTATTCCAGTCTCCTAAGAACTTGGAGTACTTCAATGTCTACAGAATTGCCCAATCCCACACACCAGCATAAATGTCTCATTTCCAGTGAACTTTTCTATCTCGTCCAAGTCCCTCACAGTGGGATACAATGGACTATGTCAACATCAAGAATGGATTTAGGTTAGATAGTTGAACTCTAAATCTCATCCTGCGACCATTGCTCCTATCTTGCTAAATTTCTAATCTAATCTTGAACCTTACAAAACTTCCCAGACCCCAGAAGACTCCATTTTCACTTGATCTATTAGTCTCCATCTTTCTCCTTACAAAGTCTGGTTCCGTGACGATCTGATGAATTACTTTATGTATCACTAATAACCATACCTCTCATACTGCCCTTTACTAACATGCTTATCTAAAAACAATTTCAGATAATTTCTGCAATCCACCTTCCAGACTCCCTGGACTGATGAGAAAATATGAGACTTTAATTTTAAGATTTCCAGTTGCCTGCCATTCAGGGATGTGTATTTGTGGGTGTGGTCTTACCTGGAGTGCAGTGGCTTTGGCAATTCTCTTTTTGTTCATGTGCTTTTCTTTTTACTCTACCTGTCATTCCCCTCTTCACCTAGCCAACTCCTGTTCATTCTTCAGTTACTGGCCTCCTCAGTTCCCCCATAACATCTTGTAAGTAACTTTAAAAAAATTAATTTTACTGGTGCATTTAATGTATACAATATAATGACATTAATCATTGGAAATTTATACCTTTATATAATCAATCTTGGTTCTTAGGTTTTTCCCCATACCCCTCCCCACTCTTCAACCCCTGTAAGTAACAATTAAAACTCTTATCACTTTAATTGTTATTACTTATGTTTTCTCATAAACAGGCTACTATTCCATGAGGTTCTTTATTTCTTTGGGTTCTTTGTGTGTAGAATGGTGCCTGAAAGGAACATGCTTGTTGCCACAGTTATGGAAAACACTATAGATGTTTCCTCAAAAAATTTAAAATGAAGCTATCATACAACCAAGCAGTCCACTTCTGGGTATACATCCAAAGGGCATGACATCAGCATGCTGAAGAGACATCTGCATTACTATGTCAACTGCAATATTATTCCCAATAACCAAAACATAGATTAAGTTTAGTGTTTTTTAACAGATGAGTAGATAAGGACGTTGTGATACTTATGTGCAGTTTAATATTGGTAGCCTTAAAAAGAAGGCATTCTTGTTGAGATGATATGGATGAAATTGGACTACATTATGCTAAAAGAAAGAAACCAGATACAGAAGGAAAAATACCATGATTCTTCTTATATGAGGTATAATAGTCAAATTCATAAAAGCAGACAGCAGAATGGTGATTGCAGGGGAAAAGAGAGAATTAAGGAGTATTGGTCAAACAGCATGAAGCTTGAACTACCCGGATGAATAAGTCTTACAGATGTACAGTTAATAATACTATATTGTACACGTCAACATTTTTCTAACAGGGTAGAGTTTCAGTTAACTGTCTTAGCATAAATGTCAAAACAAAAACAAAAGGGCACGAGAAGACTTTGGGAGGTGTTGGATATGTCTTTTACCTTGATTATGGTGCTGGTATCCTGTGTGTCTGCATAGAATCAAACTCCTCAAATTGTACACATTAAATATATACAGTTCTTTGGATATCAATTGTATCTTGACAAGACTACTGATTTTTAAAAAGAAAGATAATAGTTTTTTGAGCTGTTCTGTACATTCTAGGGAAGAGGTATTGTTGAGCCAATAAAAGGGAAAAGAGTGGAGGAAGAATGAGATAGAGACAGGTTGAAGAAAAGATGAACTAAAGGATTACGGTTCAGATGATGAATCACCTCAATATTATTACATAAATGAAAAATAAGGCCATCCATTTGTACAATAAAAGGGTGTTTGGAGAAAGGAGAAATCCTAAAGTAGCTCCTATGGAGAGTTGGCTGGGGGTTAGAGAAAATGAATAGCAAATGGATGGAATCTGCTTGGTTAGCATTCTGTGGCCTGAAGAATAAGCAGAGAAATCTTGCCTGTATAGCTGGGGATAGAAGTCATAGACATAGGGAGAATCAGGGAACCACTTAATCACAGAATAAAATTAAAGAATTTTAGAGCTAGCAGCGCATGCTTATGTGCAGTGGAATATTGGTAGCCTTTAAAAAGAAGGTATTAAAAAGTCTTAAAAACAAGCCCAGCTCTCTGGGAGGCTGAGGCAAGAGGTTTACAAATTTGTGCCCAGCATGGGCAATTTAGCAAATTAGCAAGACCTTGTCCCCAAATAAAAAAGTAAAAAAGGACCGAGGATGTAGCTCAGTGTTAAGGTCCTAGGCTCAATACCCATTACAAAAAAAAAAAGGACCAAGACATATCATGTAAAGGTACAAGATCCCAATGATAAATGTAACTGTATTGTTGCTTTAAATGTACCAATACACTTAATGGGAAAAAATAAGTAAATATATATATTAAAAAAGAAAAATTTAAAAAAATGTTAGATCTGTTAACAAGTGGGGGTCTCCCTTAGAAGGATAGCCCAGGTCTCATTCAGGTAGGGAACTGGTAACAATTGAGAAATGAAATAGTGTGTTAGAGTTTGGTTGCAAGCAGTAGAAATGGGCCATAGTTGACTTAAACAAAAAGGGACCATATTGAATGTGGGAGGAAGTAAAGGGAAAACTGAAGAGCCAGGCTCAGAAAGTTGGAGCCAGAATGCTCTGGAGATCCAGGTGGAAGGAATAGATGTAATGCCTTCAGGGCTGTGCTGTTGGGTGAATGATTCAACCATTTACCCATATATATATGGGCATACAAGAGTCAAATTCTTAGAAGAAAGGAGTAGATTGAATTGTCAGGTATAACTTGATAGATCATCTCGTTGTGCTAATCACCTTTACATTACTATAAAAAACACCAGAGAAAATCAACTTTAAAAGGTATAGATTTATCTTAGCTCACCATTTTTTTTTTTTTTTTGAGACAGGGTCTCACTATGTAGCTGAGACTGACCTGGAGCTCACTATGTAGCCCAGGCTGGTCTCGAACTCACAGCGATCCTCCTCTGCCTCAGCCTCCCAAGTGCTGGGATTACAGGATGGCTCACCGTTTTGGATCTTTAAGTCCATGGTAAGATGGCATGTTGCTTTTGCACTGGTGGTGAGGCAGAATATCATGATGGAAGTGTGTAGAGGAACCTCTCACCTTAAGGCTTGAAGTGAAAGAGAGAGAGGGGAAGGAACTAGAGTCTAAATAGTTCCATCATTGCCATGCCTCTAATGATCATAAAGACCTTCCACTAGGCCCTACATTGTAAAGGTTCCACTATCTTCCAATCGCACCACACTGGGGAACAAACTTTAACACATGGGCCTTTGGGAGGCATTTATTTTAAACCACAGCACACAACAAGATACATACAGTGGAGAGAGACGTGTCAGGAGGTGGTGTCTGAGCCTGCCTTCAGCTGCTAATGCATTAGGATGTTACTTACATGTGGCTTTTATATTTGGTATTTGATATATGTGTGAGCCTGCACTATTGTGTGCTCTGTAAAAGAGAAAATGAAACATAAATATATTGGCTTTGACCTTGAGATCATCAATTAAGCCCAAACAGGTTTACGAAGAAGCTTTTAGTTTCCTAAAGATATTAATATTGCTTCGAGTACTAAAAGAGCAGAGCCCCAGGCCAATTACATCTCATTTTATGAGCCTTGGCGAGGATATATATTTGATTCCTGTTGTTTGTCCTCACAGAGTCCTTATTTTTCCATAAATTAAGACCAATCAGTCATAGGAACATGAAATTCCATTTATATTCTCAAATGACTAATGGCTTGAGTTTTGGCTCTGTAGTTCAAATTCTAATGAAACGGAATAGTAGCTATGTGTAATTAGCAAATGGACCCTGTTAGGACTGGTGATGTGCATGTTCACATGGGCTGCCTGTGAGCTCAGCCTCCACTGTAGTTTTTTTTTTTTTTTTTTGTGTGTGTGTGTGTTACTGGGGTCGAACTCGGGCCCTTGTGCTTGCAAGGCAGGCAGTGGAACCACTGAGCCAAATCCATGGCCCTCCACTGTAGTTTTTAAAGGAGCTAATAGTAAGCATGTTCACAAATGGGGGAGACTGAAAGGTTAACTCTGCATCCCCAAGATCCGCCTCCAAATCAGCTATATGAGAGCCTCTAATTCAGAGAGAACACTGTGGGATTTTGTTAGCCTATGGTTTGTAGGATATGCTTTTTCCAGAGAAGGAAAAATGCTTCTATTGTGTGCTCTGTCTGGGGCCTTGAAATGTATACCCTTCTTTCTAATAACCCCTTATTCCAATGTCAACATTTACACAATGGGTTTCTTAATATACTTGTGTAGGTTAATGCCAGATATACTTTTTGAGTTCAGAGCAGAAATACAGGAAATGGTTAGATGGAAAGACAAGTGGGGTGGAGAGCTACCTAAGGTTAACATTAGAAAATAATTTAGAAGCAAACCTGTACTTTGTTGTTGAATATTCAAGGCAGCAGGATTTGCATTCTTGGTTAGCACATGCAGTAATAACAGCTTTCTACCCCGTCACAGTCAGGAAACTTCCAACCCCAGCTCTATTTCTTCTTCTCCTCAGCAGGAGACTTCCTTTAGGATAAGAACATGAAGACCTTAGGCACAAAACTGACTAAATAGACCAGCCAGTGGCAACGGGTGGGAGAAAAGATTTACAACATTCCATCCTGGGCTTTAAAACCAAGCACCTGTAAAAACTCTTGGATCCACCTTGGGATCCTAACTCTAGATGTGCTCTTGTTTGTTAGAGGTAGGCCAAGGTAAGTTGTTACATTTATTGAGTACCTTCTAGGCATACAGTGATTTATGAGAGAAGGAGATGAGACAAAGAACCAGCACTGGACATGATCACTATGAGCAAAACCCACGTCTAAGTCTGTTAGCAGTGGACTGCCAGTGAGGGTTTTCCAGCAGAAGAGTGCGTGATTATATCTGCATTTCCAAAATGGATAGAGATGAGCTCAGAAGTAGGAAGATTGTGTCGGAGGCAAGAACGTGATTTGGAAGAATGCAGCAGCAGAAGGGATGGATGGGTGAGCAGTCTGACTAGACACAGATTTAAAGATTCACTGGATGTGAAGGCAAAAGAGTGGGGGAATCCACTGATATTTCTACCTATGGTGCTGTACTCCAAGGTGAAGAGGACAGAGGGTAGGGTCATTTTAGAAGGGGAGATTTTGATTTTGATGTTACTAAATGACATCTAGCAATGCCCAATTAGCAGACAGGAGAAGGATCTAGAGACAGCAGAAAGTTGAAATTGAGAGAGAAAGATCTAAGAATCATCAGAAAAAGGTGGATCAATGCAATACCTAGCTTAAAAACTGTCATTGGAAGTATTTTCCCAAGATGGTGGTTATGATCATAAATCCTTTCACTCCTGTCAGAAGCTACTTCTTTCCACAGAGATCCTATAAGAGAAGAAATAGAAAAAACAAGCACATACAATCAACAGAAGAATTATGGTTATTTACTTCGGTATGACGATGTTAAGATTCAGCCAGCACAGCCTTTTGGCTGGGAAAACATTTTTTTAAACTTAATTTTTATATTTTGGTACTGGGGATTGAACTCAGGACCTTGAGCTTGTGAGGCGGGACATAGTTTCGAAAGTACATGATATACTGGAACTTGCCCTGGCTTGTCTGGCCATATCTGTGGAACTACTGCTGCTGTGGCCTGGAACTTTCATGCTTTCAGGCACCTAGGTCATTGGAAGTGAAATTGGTGAGAGCTACTTCCCTCGGGGCTGACTGTCTTTCTTATGCATGTGGGCAGGAGCAGAGGTCCAATGTTATATACTCACGGGGCATTTGGGTATTGGAAGCTAAAGTATTTTAATGTGTACCAACTTTCTGGGGATAAGAATGGCATCAAATTTTAAGCAACTTACAAAATTGGAGCACAGTTGAGAGTGGAAATCCTCTCCTAAGTACCAGTAGCTAACAACAGAATTCTCTCTCCATCTTGGAATAAAAGTGAACTCAGTATATTTTCAAAAGAAAATAAAAGGCTGTTTTGAGGTCTGTTGAGTTTGCGGTCAGAAGACCTGTTTCATGTGTTGTGAGCTTATTTCAAAGTACCCGTGATGCTACTAACCTGACACTACAAAGTACCTCGACTCTCCATGCAAGGATCCCTTACTGTGGTAGGTCCATTTGAAAAAGACCTATGATGAATGTAGGATTGTGCATCCTGTGCAAGCCTTATTTGGAACTTAAGTTACTGCACTGATGTTTTATGGATGGCATGAAAGAAACCACTTAAAGTTCATAAAGGAGTCCTCCAGCAGTGCCAAATGAAGCATAGGAAGATTTTCCAAATGACCCTATGTAACAAAACAGCATCTCTATGTATTATAGAAACTCAAAAGGCATTCCTAATGGGAAGCCTGTTATCTGTGTGTGGGTACAAATCAGAGAACTCAGAGATGGTGCCACAGGTCAGGTGTCATCAAATGCTCTCTATAAGATGATGTGCAGGCTCCTGAGGCTCATGAGCAAACTGGCTTGGTTCTTGGGAGGTAAGTTTAAGGAAAAAATTTCCTGGTTGTTCCTTCCAAGGGATCCATACAGGGTTTTTTAAAGACCACAATCAGCAGGAAACTCATATGGCAACCAGCATCTGGAAGCTAGAAATTCTCTTGAAAGGTTAAGGAGCAAACAGGAGATGTGGATCAATCTTCATAGAATAGAGAGTGTCTGACTTGGAAGGGACATCAGAGATTGCCTTGTCCTAACCTTTTCATTAACCAGAGAGATAAAGTGACTGCCTGACACAGTCTAGACAGTGGCAGAACTGGGACTGGAAATGTAGGTGGCTCCTCTGTAAGCCTGAGGCTGTTCTGCTGTTTTAAACTCAATTAAGGTAGGAGTGGAGGAAGAAGGAATATAGCATTAACATTGGGTAACTTGTATTTAGGCTCTACTCAGTCATTTATGGATAGATCTTTGGTATGGTGATAGCCCTGCATATCCTTCTGAATGGGTCCCTCACATACTCATCAAATGGGGGTAAAGAACGTTTCAGGAATGACATTCACTGTCCCTCGTGTTCCTCCTTATCTTTGACATTATGACAATAGTACAAATAGCACTAAATTGTGGTGGTCAAATTGTGGCCAAGGGCCAGAATACAGTTACCAAAATAGCTTCCCTGGGGGGTGGTGCTGGCACGGGGAAGGATGCCAGGGTCTGTTGAGTACAACGGGTGGGTTGACTGTAGGTGTGCACTGGGAGAACAAAACAACCAAATGATTGTTCTCATTAAAGTCACAGCACAGTTTCCTAGCAATTAACCCTTGGAAGTGCTTAGATAGATTTAGGAGAGAAAAATACAAGTTTCCCCCTTTCACACTGAGTTTATTTCACATATCTAGAAATAGTAATTACAAAAATCAGAATATTTTAACACACTGAAATTTGGTACAATTCATTCAGGTCCTTTGGAGAAGACTCTAGATGACTTCTGAAAATAGTGTCAGTTATTTTGTGTTTTTCTGTGGCTCCAAATGAGCTGCTTTTACTCTCCAAGCTAGCTTTGTGTTAAGCTGCTCTTTGTTGCAGGGGCTGAATGTTTGTTTCAAAGTGGTATCTTTCCTCCTGACCTTATTTAGCTGATCAGTACTATGCTTGATGGAAACACTTGTGCCAAGTTCAAGTGTACTACTTACTAACCCACTTATGAAAACCCATCAATTATTTTCATAGAAGCAGAGTCCTTTAAACACATGGAGTTTCGTGCTCTATTTGTCACGGGACAGCTGTCCAGATTGATGCTGTTTGTGACAGGGGTGCTAACAATCGTGAGTCACTTGTATCATTCCACAGTGTGACAGAGGTGACTCTCAGGACACATAGATCTTGTGCTGAATTATACCTGGACTTCTATTATTTCCAATTGTTAGAATCTACCACTAGATGCACAGTAGTTCTATGCAGCTTCTAAAAATCATATTTTCCTTCTGGCCTAATGTTAACAAGTTCTCTATTATTAGGGTTTTTTTTTTTTTTTTGCTTTATGTTTGAGATGTTTTATGTAGTTCTTTTTATTTCAGATTTATTTAGAGTTTATAGAAATGAAGAACAATAACAGGTAACAATGATTAAATGTCTGCCATTTACTAGCCCTCAGTAAATACAGGGCACATTCCTACTACCCTCTTTTCTTTGCTCTTGGCAGACATTACTAGTCAATCATGGCTGTCTTTTACTGAACCTAGATACTTTTCCAGGAAACCACTGTCCATTGATCTGCACTGTACATGAGATGAATTATTCTAGTACTGGGAATTTAGTATTTTTTATTTCATTTTATACTTACAACAAAGATGCAAATCACCCACATTATTTTCCACAATTGTGCATATAAAAACTAAGTTTATTTAAATAAGTTGCCAACCACATTTGGCTAATCTATATCTAAATTTTTGGATAAGAATTCGCTGTTTATACTACTTTATACAGCTTGCCTTTTCTAAAGACAGTGCTTTATTTGGCTTCAGTATCAAAGCTCATTATCAAATACAAACAGCCCCTAAATTTTGAGGATATTTCATCCCAAAAGTTCAGAAGAAATAGGAATAATAATACTGAGCATCTGGTAGTTCCCCTTGGGACTTTAGGAATAGGGAAATGCAGAAGAAACCAAACACAATAGAATCTCTTTTTTCTTTAGCTTATCTGTTCATTCATTTTGTAATTATTTGCTGAGTGTTTAATATTGTGACAAGCATTAGGTAGACAGTGCTGAATTAATAGATATGATCCATACTCTCATAGAACTTACGGGCTATTGGGACAGACAGACATTAAACAAATAGGCCCAGATAAATAGTATGATTATAAGCTGATACATTCTAAGAAGGAAAAGAACAGAGACATCTGATGGGGAATAAAAAGAGAAATTTAAATTCCATTGAATATTTGATAAATATATCTCTAAAGCCAAGATATTTAAGCTCCTCACTGAAGGACCAGTAGGAATTAGCAAGGAGAAAATCTGGAGACCAGCATTTAGAAAGAGAGCACAATGTAGGAAGACTTGGAATCAGAAAAGAGTTTGGCTTGGTTAAGAGAGCTTTGTTTGCTTCTCTAGGAATTTTGTCCTCATTTTGCTTGTCTGTGGTAAAGTAGAAAATGATAAAACTATGCAGGGCTATTTTTTACAGATGTTGGCAAACAACAGGAAAAGTGGCTTTGTTTAGAAAATATATATAACTTTATAAAACAGTGTACAGTCAGTCCTTCATAACTGCATGTTCTGTATCTGAGAATTTAACCAACCATGACCTGAATATTTTAAAAACTGCATTTGTACTAAAGATACACAGACCTTTTACCTTATCATTATTCATAAACAGTACAGTGAACAACTATTTGTCTAGCATTTACATTGTGTTAGGTATTAAGAGTAATCTAGAGATGGTTTAAAATATATGAGAGGCATTTTGAGGATATACTCCTAAGTGAAATAAATAAGTCACACATGTGCAAATACTGAATAGTTTCTCTGGTGTGAAAAACTAAAATAGTACTCAAGATCCTAATGGGGCAATTAGCAATGTGAAATAGGAAGAAAGGGACCAAAGGTGCAGGGACAGTGAGAAGGATAGGGAAAGGGGAACAAGGGAAAAGGAAAAAAATATGAGAAAATGTAAAAATGGAATTAAAGTGTTTGAAGGTGGGGACGGGAGGAGGGGGTGAAGGGAGGGTGGGGACAAGGGGTAAAAATGAGAACCAAGACCTGTCATGTAAAGGTACAAGATCCCAGTAATGAATGTAACTGTACTGTCTACCTAGAATGTACCAATAAATTCAATTTAAAATAAAAAAATATATGAGAGGGTTGCATATATTATATACATATGCTATATACTTTTTAATATAAAGGACGTGCATATTTGTAGATTTTGGTATCCACAAGGTGTTTTGGAACCATTCCCTTGTAGACACAGAGGGATAACTCTACTCACAGCCTGCAGGGCTATTCTGTAAAATGATTTCTCAGTAGTGTGGTCAGATAATTCCAAAGTGGGAAGTTTATCTTGAGCCATGCTGCACCCTGCCACCAATAGTGATATAATGGAAAATATATATTTGGTCCCCTTTGACTCCCATTCCTGAAAAACAGCTCGTAAAACTTGTAATTTTTAAAGTGATGTATATATAGGATAGGAGTATTTTACCGAAGCTCCTAAATCTCTTGGAATTTTCTGAATGATAAGAGCATCTTTTATTCTAATAGGTAACTCTTGGTAGACTTCAGGTAGCTTTGGGATGGGGATAGTCATCAGAAAAATAAACCTACGATTAGAAATTTGGGACTTTCAGCCCCACTCCCATTCTCTTTGAAGGGGTTGAGTTAGTAATCCTCATGCCTATGTGAAAAGACAACCATAAAAATCCTTGAACTATATGATTTTTAGTGAGTGAATTAACTTACTGGGAGAATGGCAACTCCAAGTCCATAGAAAGAGCCTTTGCTCTTTGGACCATTCCAGACCTTCACTTGTATAGCTCTTCGCCTGGGCGTTTAATTTTATCCTCTTTAAAGTACTTTATAGTAAATTGATAAATACAAATATATCATTTCCTGAGTTCTGTGAACTATTACAGCAAGTTATTGGACCTGAGGCAGGAGTTGTAGGAAGCTCCAGTTTGTAGTCATGTTGGATAGAACTCTGTGTGTGGGTACCCTGGGCACCCAACACTTGCAGCTACTCTGATGTGGGAACAGTCTTGTGAGACTGAATCCTTAGCCTGTGGAGTCTGCCCTAACTCTAGGTAGTGTCAGAACTACATTAAATTTTAAGATACCCAGTTGGGGTTGTTAGAGAATTGGAGAATTACTTGGTCTAGAATCATAAGTGTTATTAGCACAGAAACAGTTTTTCTTCTACTACATAGTACACAGCCCACAAA